CCACCTTGGCCGCTGCGGTGAGCGCGGGAATGCCAGGATCGCCTTGGGCCCTGTGTGTAGGGGTTTTGGGTGGACACCCAGAACTGGGGTTCCTGGATCGTAGGGTGCTTTTATTTTTGCTTTTGAGGAGTCTCCGCACTGTTGATCCATAGAAGCCGCATTTCCATTCCCATCAAAAGTGGATAAAGGCTCCGATTTCTCTATAATGTTGCCAACAATTTGTTTTTAAAGAAGAATCATCCTCACAGATGTGAGGTGACTTCTCGCTGTGGCTCTGATTTGCATTTTCTGGTGCCGAGTGACGTTGAGCTCCGTTGCATTGATCCGTTGACCATATGTGTGTGTTCTCTCGAGAAATGTTTATTGGTCTTTAGTCATCAAGTAACCTGATTTCCTATGCCGAGTTGTGATAATTCCTTACATGTTTTGGAACTTGGCGCTTGCCAGATACATGACTTGCAGGTATTTCCACCCATTCCACAGTCTCAGCTGATGGTGCTCACGTGTGCACTTCTGCTTCTGTTGCCCGCGTCCTGCTGTCCTCAAGAAAGTGTGGCCAAGCCAATATCATGAGATGCGTCCTTTGCATTCTTTCAGAGTTTTCCAGTTTTAGATCTTACAGTTAAATCTTTAGCTGATTTTGAGTTGATTTTTTAAGATTCCAACTTCCTTTTGCTGTGATATGTATATCCAGATTTTCAGCGAGCACTTGTTGAAGAGACTGTCCTTTCCTTTATTGTGTGTCTCTGAGATCCTGACTGAAAATCAATATAAGGGATCAGAATATATATCTATATATATAATACACACACACACACATATACAATACATATATATAGTAATTGTATTAGAAGTAAAAACGAACATCAGCTAACAGGTATAAACCAGAGACATTCTATGGGGGAAGAGAGGGGAACAGGATCCAAACTGGGGTGGGAAGAGCACATGAGACTTTGGTGATGGCACAGGGGTGAAGTGGTGGTGGGAAGTCTAAGGGATTACAACTGACATGAAAAATGTACAAAATGAAGAATGGTGTAAAAAATATATAGATATAATTTAAGAAAACCAGTGACCTTGTATACAAAGACTTATTTTTTGACTCTATTCTCTTCCATTGGTTGGTCTGCATGTCTGTACTTATGCCGAGTTACATGGTTTTTATTACTGTAGCTTTAGAATATACTTTGAAATCCAGAATTATGATTCCTCCAGCTTCGTTCTTGTTTTTATGATTGTTTTGGTAAACTTGTAATCTTTTGTGGTTCATGAGTTTTGTAAAATTTCTTTTTATTTTCTTAAAGATTATTCAGAATCCCAAAGAGTTTTTCTTTGTGTGGGTTATATCTATCAATATTTACTGTAGAAATTAAAACTGAGAAAAATCTGAAAGAATTTATAAACACCTGTCCTATGAGCAATCAGAACTTTTGAAAATTTTTGATATATATTCTAATAGTGTAATAGTTAATTCCTAAGAATATAGATATATGCATATATTCTTGCAGAAAAAGAAAGTGAAAGAAGTAGATAAAGTATACCTTAAAAGACTATTAAGATAGGATTGACCTACAGATGCCAGAGAGGGGTACTGGGACCTTCTGGGGTTCTCAGAAAACCAACAACTACTGATTTAGACACCTGATTTAGCGATCATTTACTGACTATCCTGTGCTGGGAATTCCAGCTAAGGAGGTCAAAAGGAGGGAAAGTATGAAGGGACTTTGTTGGTACCTTGGAATTCATACATCATACACATGCCTAAGACAGCACGTATATCTGTAAAATGTTTATGTACCATTCAAGAAAAATGATTTGGGGACTACAATTGAGATGGAAAAAAAAAAGTACAAAATGATGTAAAAATAAACTGTTATAAAAAAAAGAAAGAAAAATGATTTGACATAGCCATATGGCCATTAAAATTGCAGTCAACATGATCACAGTCTGGAAATTCAATACTCAAAGCCAGAGTCTGAGTCACTGCCCAGCCTTACAAAACAGTGGTCTGTGACATTTGGCTTCTGGAGACCATCACTACCAAGGAAAGCACCAGTAGCTTCGGGGGTTTGATGATGTTCCTGTCACATCAGCTGCCAAGTGCAACTTAAGAGAACAGTGTGAACAATCACATCTTCCCCCCTCTCTCTGTCAGCCTCCTTGGAAAGCTTTTCTTTTATGAAAATGGGTGATTTAGTTTCTAAGCAATGAAACTGTTAAAGACCATTTCTTTTGTAGACTTCTCCAGGTTGCTTCCACCTTTGCACACTCCTGTTTGAGACACTAAATGCAATTTGCTGCTTCTTTGCAGGTAGTTTTGAGACAGCTGTGTCGTCAGATAAGCACGTGCTCTCCAAACCTGGAGGAAATATCACACTCACCTGTCCACTGCACATGAAGTGGCCACTTCAAGAAGTGAGGTGGGAGAAGATCCAGCCCCATCAGATCGACCTTTTAACTAACTGCAACTTGTCCCAGGGGAGAAGTTATGCTCTGAAGTACAGAAGGCAGGTGGAGAGCAACTGCAGTGAGGAGGCGAGTAGCTCCATCGTTCTGCCCCTCGTTACCGCCTCCGACTCTGGGCTCTACCGCTGCCTCATCAAGGCCAGCACGGGAGAAAACGACACCTATGTGCTAAGACTGACCGTTACGCATGGTGAGTAGGTCACTGGTCCCCAGGTGCCAAAAGTGGAAAGAGCTGGTCCTGTGGATTGGTTTCTGTTGCCTTTTTCATGATTTCATTGTTTCAAATATTTTTTTTTTTAAAGATTTATTTATTTGTGCATACAGAACTGGGGTACAGGCCGGAGGCTCAGGGGTGGCGAGAGGCTTCACCAGAGACAGAGTGGGGAGCAGAACAGGCAGATCGATGAAGTCCACTGCTGAGGGGAGCAGCGGGCGGGTCAGGAGAGGTCTGCCACACCATGTGGTCACCTCCGGGGCAGGCGGGACTCGAACTCATGCGGAAGTGACTTTAGCTTCTCAGTGCTGTGCTTTAACCCGCTGCGCCACCAGGGAGGGCCTACTTTTCATTTTTTAAAAAGATTTATTTATTTATGCGTAGAAGAACTGGGGTTCAGGCCAGAGGTGTGGGGTGGTGAGAGGCTTCACCAGAGACAGAGTGGGGAGCAGAACAGGCAGATCCCACTGAAATACACTGCTGAGGGGAGCAGCGGGCGGGTCAGGAGAGATCTGCCGGGCCATGTGGGTCTCTCCTCGGCCAGGGATTGAACTCATGCTGCAGATTGCTTCATAGTGCTGAGACTTAACCTTTTACGCCACTGGGGAGGTCCCTCAAAATATTTCCGGTGGCCGATTTTAGGAAGGTGTCAGCACTTGGAGGTTGGTATCACCTGTACTTGCTAATGCGTCCATCACAGATACAATAACATTGAGCTTTCCCTATTCTTTGACCAGCTACATTTTTGATATTAAAAACAAAAAACGCAGCGAGTCCTATAATACCCAGTAACAGACTATGACGGTGAGCTGTGCGAGGCGGAGCTGCTCTTTGGCCTGAGAACTCTCCTCCGGGTGAACGTACCTGGGACTGGTGGGCGCAGGCACATGCACGCTGAGTGGAGTCGGTCAGAGGCCACAGGAGTGCTGCGTTGACTGTCCGAGCATTGATGCACACTGCTGGTTTCAGACGTGGGAGCAGAACAGCCCTGTATTGGAAGCTGCCTCAAAGCCCAGTGCCCGCCCCATGCAGGCTTGGCCAAGAGCCCTCTCCTGTGTCACAGGGAAACTCCAGAATGTTGCCAGCTGCAGCTTCCTCAAATCTGTGTGAGGGGAACGACAGTGACTTGTCTCTCACTGAGGTGCTAGGCCGTGAAGTCTGGATAGAGCCTGCATGAAAGCCGAGTAGGGGAGGCGGTCTCAGCCCCTTGCCATCCTGCCTCCGGGCCTTCTATCAGCACAGGGGCGTGCAGAGGAAAAAGCAACTTGCCTCTATGGTGACAGTTTTGTTTTATTTTATCCTGACCCCCCCCCCCATTTTTCCATCTTTCTTTTCCCCTTGTCTTCATTTGCGTCCGGTTGATGTCTCTGCTTGTCGTGGGCTCTGGAGAACAAGGCCTCCTGGGCCCTGCCTGGCCCTCACAGACGCTGCTTGTGTTACAGAGGGTTGTTTTTTCTTGTCCTGGAAAGGAGGAAGAAAAGGAAGAAAAGGTGTTGTGATCCCCGCGCGAGGCCGCGCCGTGGCTGATGCACCGTGGGGGTGTGCGAGGAAGTCATTTGCGGGAGGCAGCTTTTCACACACATCGCCTTGGACCACATCAAGCCTTTTTTGTTACCTTTCTGACAGTGGGAACTGTAGGCGAGGCCTTCGTTGCTCTTAGAACAAGATGCAAAAGAGGGTTGACGGAATATTTGGGGGAGCAACATTGACATACTCTCTTCATTTTAAATGTCAATTCCATTCCTTCAGGCTGATATAGGAAATATTTTTTTACCTAAAAAATTACTTGCATTACAGAAGTGTTTTTTGAAATCTGGCCAGGAAAAAAGAAGTAAAAATAGTCCTTAATCATCTCTCAAGAGGCTGAGGCTAGAAAAAGTTCTCAAATAATGTGTCATAAAGGACCATTTTCAAATACATAAGAAGTAAGATCTGTCCATTGTATGTTGAAAAGGCAAGTGTAAGCTTCATAAGTAATAGAGAAGGTGGAGTTAGAGACTTTTTGTAGTGCTTTCACTTTTACTAATTAATAAAACCGCCTTTCATTTACTCAACATGATAACATTTCTTGCTTAAAACAAAACCCTTCCTTTGAACAGAAGCTATAAATAATGCAGAAAATAAGAGAGCTGAGCATGACAGTGTAGGTTGAAGGGATTGCAACTGAATCCGTTGGAAAAAAGTTTTAACTGACAGTAGATGACAGCTGTTGATTGTGCATTTTAGCTTAGTTCTTTTAAAAAATAACTATAAGCGAAGATTGAATATGAGATCAGAAACAAGCGAAAATACATCATTTGTGTTTCTTTCTGATGGGATTTGATTATTTCAAGTCTTGAGGCTGTTTGGGCAAAAATCAATGTGGGGATTAGCGGATAGAGACAGGAATGAGATGCAGAGAGATTAAATTCGTTTCAGCTGCCAAGGGTAAGGTGATTGTGACAAACATTTGATAACCTGCCGAGCATCCTTTTGTGAGTGCCCACCACCCTTGTTTACAAGCCCCTGAAGAGAGACTGTCTGAACCTCGCTTTACACACACACACACACACACACACACACACACACACACACAGATCTGCCCTGACATACGCTTGTCTTCAGACAGGTACCAGGTAGGGGTGGGTGAGCCAGAGAAGACACAATGTCAGCCGATCTGTTGACTATCTAGGAAGGGGGTGGGGGCAGAAAGTGGCAGAAACAGAGTAACACCTGAATGTATTATCGACTTCTTTGTGGCATGAAAAGAATTACTTGTCACCTATCTTTCACTCAGGAGCTGGGACATAGCATGAAATAGTTCCAGACTGACTTTCTGAATGTGAATCTTGTCTCCACCACAGGGACAAGGAACAGGGCAATGTGTGTAGACTGAGAATGACCAGCATTACCACTGACCCTGTAGGCCCTCCGAATTTTTATCAGTTATGAGGAAAGTATTTTAGTTTCCATCGAAAGAATTTTTCAAGTCTTTTGATGTTAACTATATCATGTTTGGACCATAAGTGCTTCAACGGGGCTTATTGATTACAAGAAGAAAGCAGTCAAAAGAAATCAGATCAACTCTTAGAAAGTTTATGGAGGAAAGTCTTGGACAAGCTTCTATCATTTCTAAGAAATACAGTCACTGGTTTCCTTGTCCAGCATTTGTCCATCCACAAGGCCACTCACCTGCACTAACTTCCAAGGGAAATCTTAATGAGCAGAGCCAAGGGAAGAGCCCAAACTGAGCAAACTGTAAAAATCTCTATGAATAAAACCTACATGAGGGAATGGGAAGTTGTGTGTAGATGGCTGTGGTCAAATGACCAGGCCACTGCTGAATTATGGGCTCATAGGAGGAGGCAGGCTCAGTGGAGTGAACACTGAAATTCTGGGTCTCACATAAGAGAATGACATGACTCTTGACCAATGATGGAAAAATAGTGTTCAAGGATATGTATGTCAGATAGTTGAGTGTAGAATGAAAAAGAGAACTCGAGGGAGAAGATACACACTGAGAGTCAATGATAACAGCCAGTGCATGAAGTGTGGAGTTCGCACTCACTGGGTGTCTGGACCACAAAGAGCGGCCCAGGCCCAGAGACAAATTGCAAACGGCACCTCCACTGAGCAGGCAAATGACAAAGGAGTCTCTTGCTCGTGCGGGTGTGATGTGGACACACGGGCATCCTAGCTAACTAAACAAGGGTAAATGTTATGAGCATGCTGTTCATGTCACCATGTGCTGCCTGCTACCTTCATGTCCTGGGCACCGCTCTGCATTCTCCGTCCCTGCCAGCCTACTCATTTCAGCACACGTCCCACCTTTGTTTTTAATGGAGGTAACATTGGCTCTCAGAGGTGTAGGCACACACCTCCTCAGATGTGTCACCACACCACCCCCAGGTCGGCCGCAGCCCTCCACCAGGGGCTCTTAACTTCCTGTCTTGAATTTCAGATTTTACATCTTTAACACATTAGTTCAAACTACTTCCCTGTCATTGAATCATTACACTTCTCACGTTTCTCAAACTTGTAAAACTTGGAAATTGAACCTTGAGGTCATGTGTTAAATGCATCTATCAGAAATCGCTTGAGATTAGGAATGATGGACTCTCTGTCCAGAGTTTTCAGAGTATCTCTCTGGGCGATCCTCCGTAAGTGTTCTGAACTGATTCTCTGTGTAGTAACATTTCTGTGTATTAAGACTATGCCCACTTTATATTCAGGTTTTTCGGATAGGTTATTTCTAGATATTCTTCATCAACACTTATTGCTGATCAAAGAAACCTGAACTCTAGGAAGATCAGTTGCCATGTTTTGAGAGAAAACTTTCATGAACTTCTGTTTAGATATGTAACTTCCCCAAAAGTCCGCTTTTATTCTTGACATTAATTTCCTTGTTGTGTCTATTTTCGGGACATGGTAATGAATGGCTAGCCCCCAGACCTGGAGGTGAGTGCAAATGCGCATTGCAGAAGTATTCATAGAAGTCATGGGGCTGCAGCTAAGGGAATCTGCCCATCTGTTTCTTCTAGGAGACATAGGGCCAGCAGAGGTAGGCCAGGGAATGGAATATTCTAGGTTGTGATTGAGCCAATAGATGGCTTAGTGGAGATTACTGATGCCAATACGGTGCTCCTGATTTGCAATAGAAGGGTCTGAGGAAGGGAAATCATTTTCATTACTTTTTTCGGCTTAAGTTTTTTGTTAAACCCCCTTCGTTTTGTTCCAAGTGACTGGATTCCAGAGCAGTTTGATGTTGCAGCCAAGAGAATGTTATTTAGGGATTCATTAATCCAGAACCTTCTGTCCTGCTCCTGTGAATTTACAACAGACGTGACTGTTGTAGATGCAGAGGCTGTCTGAGCTGGGACACGCTGAGCTGCCAGATCTGTCCATTTCCATGACACGGTGTGAGGAGCCTCAGCCTTTTATCACCTCTGCCTACATAGACCATGGTGTCGGTGACAGTTAATTTATGTGATAGAACC